GCTGCTCAGCTCGGGCTGACTCGAACCACTGTTGCTCAGAGCTCAAACTCTTGAGCGAGCTCTTAACCAACTGAGCCACTCAGCCGGCCCTAGAAATTATTCATCTTATACCTTACGACCAACATCTCCCCATATTTTCCACCCCCAGCCCTTAGCAACCACTTTTCTACTCTCTGGTTCTATGAGTTAAACTTTTTTAGATTCCACATTTAAGGGAGGTCATAGAGTGTTTATCTTTTTCTGTCTGCTTTATTTCATTTAGCATACTGTCCTCCAGGTTCATCTGTGTTGTCACAAATGGCAAAACTTCAGCTGAATAATATTCCATTGCGTGTGTATACATATATGTATATAGCATATACGTATATATCTGATAATATTCCATTGTGTTTATATACACAAATAGCATGACTTCCTTCTCTTTTTTTGGCCAAATAACATTCCATTGTGTGACACTTAGGTTGTTTCCATGTCTTGGCTATTGTAATAATGCTGCAGTGAACATGGGAGTCCAATATGAAGGTTCTGGCTGATTCAGTTTTTGGTGAGAGCTTTTCCTGGCTTGCAGATGGCTACTTTCTTACTATGTCTTCACATGGACTTTCAATGCACAGAAAAAGGGAAGCGAACTATCTGGTGTCTCTTATTATAAGCACACTAATTCTATCAGATATGAGTCCCACCCTTATGAACTTATTTAACTTTATTTACCTCCTAATAGGCCCTATCAGTTACACTGGAGAGTAGACCTTCAATATATTTGGGAGTACACCAACATACAGTCCCTAACAACCCCTAATACTTAACACAATGACTTATTCATAGTCCTTGACTATTCGAAAGAAGGACCACATTGAAAATATGTGCTACTTGTAAGACTGAAGTCTGGGAACAACTGTAGCAGCTTGTTAGCACCTGGATATATATTGATTATTTTCTTCACAGTGAAAGAGTGAAAGGAAGAGAGAATTCATTTACACTGAGAGCTAAGAATTCTCATGCTCACAGAAAGATACCTTTGGGTAACATTGTTTTGTGAGGTGAGGTTCCATCTTGGTCCCATGCTCAGCTGTGTTCACCTTAGGAGCTCAACCCGTCTGAATGTGGCTGGAGGACCCAGAGAATGAGGTTGCTGAGGATCTATTGGCTTGGTGAAAGAACAATGCTTCCAGATCAGAGTGAAGGAAAAACTCACGGAAGACCAAAATGCCTGACATTCAGTTTGCTGTTGTGTTAGACTTCTTCCATTTGGCCCTCCTCTCCACCCTCTTCTACCTTTTTTTTTTTCCCACCAGCAGTCTGACCTACATCATCAGTGGGCTTCCTTGCCTTTTTGGCTTTTTTTTTTTTAAGATTTTTATTGAGGAATTGTGGGAGGGGAACAGCGTTGGGGATTTGGGGAAGGGGAACAGACAAGTTGCTGTCCTTTTGTTCTTCAGTCTAGTTGTGGCCCGTGTTGGTATTATCATTGCCCTCTTCCTGGGTGAGGCAGTCACTTGCCGGCCATTGGACAGGCCACTCACGGCAGCTCAGGGCAGCTCACGAAAGCTCATGCCCGCTGTCAGCCAGCCCCACTGCAGCCTACACTGTCGCCAGTGACGCATGGCAGCCCAGCTCCAGGTGGAGCTGTTGTTCACCATCTTAGCTGTAGAGGGCGCAGCGTCACTGGCCCTCATATGTGGGATCTGAACCCAGGTCCTGCTGTTCAGAGCTGGCGTCCCAAGCCAACTCCTAACCAACACGCCACTCGGCCGGCCCTCCCTTTTGGCTTTTACCTGAAGATAATTACCTAAGTTGAGGTTCTAAAAGGTAAGGGTAAATGGCCAGAAACTGGTCACATGTCTAAATGGAGCCAGATAATAAAACCCAGCAAGGCTTGAACTGAATGAGGTGGAGCACACTGGAAGCTGATGTTGGGTGAAGACCTTCAGAGTAGATGGAGAGACTCCTAAGCCAACATGCATAAGGCTGTAGCAGGTTTAATGTAGTTTGTGCCTTGATTGATATGGGCCTCTAAGAGCTTTTATAGAAGGAAGAGGAGCAAATACAAAGCTCTGGGTTCTTAGCAATAAGAATTCACTTTGCAGGCAATATATTTTAGCATTTAAATAATCACTGTTATGCATAAGAACAGACAACTGCTGTAGCCCAGCCTAAGTCAGTAGAAAGAATTCGACTTTTATACTAACTCATGAGGACAAAGGTTAAAAATACGAAGAAAAAAAAACAAAGGTTTTATTTGGCTCTGGATGTTGTGTGGCATGACACATACCCAAAGTTACTTTTCTGGAGTGCAATGCAGGAGATTTTATATTTCTAGAGTGAAATATATTGGATTTTGAACTTCCAGTGACATCACCTAAGATGATATAAGAGCCATGAAGTAAAGGGGGGTAATCATTCTTCAG